TTGGAAAGCAACCAAAGGTCTTTCCTTTCCTTTTCTTTTTTTTCTCTCATAGCCTAGGCTAGGAAATTTCCAGTAAAGGTAAATTCCATTGTTACCCATCCATTAAATCATAGATGCTCTAATTAACCAAGTTCTAGGAACCTAAGGGAGGGCACTATCTTACTGAATGAATGAATGAATGAATGAACAGATGAATGAATGAATGAATGAATGAATGAATGAAAAAGCATTTATTTGTCATTTATTATATACCAAACACTGTAACAATTGCTGAAGATACAAATAGAAAATTGTGACAGTCCCTGCTGTCAAAGATCTCACATTCTAATTGGTAGAGACAACACCCATAAGACTATGAGGGATTTGCTCATCTTTTCTGAGGATGGAGGTAGTAGGGAGTACAGGAAACTTGAGAGCACGGAGGTGATGTCTGTGGAGAACTGGTTCACATGAGCATTGAGTAACCAGGATGCACAGTGAAGGCACTGGGGTGTGAAGTCCCCAGGTGAGCAGGGAAATATTAGAAACAACAGTGTAAGTTACTAGAACACAGAGCCTGTTTTGTCCTGTCTTTTCCATGTTTGCTGCATTAAATTAAATCAAAGAGAGAGAATCATCTAGGAGACAGGAGAAGCAAAAAAGAAAGGTAAATAAAGTAGATGGAAGGCAAAGGTCATAATCCTGGGGAAGGAGATTCATTTCTAACCCTACCACACTATGGACTCAACTGGTACTAGACCAAAAGAAATAAATTTATTTCTAAGGGTAGCATGGAGAAACCAAGGCGGTCGAACAGGAACATAAGGAATGTTCCATCCCTCTCTCCTTTCCTTCTTCTCTCTTTCCCACCCTTCCCTCCCTCTTTCTTTCCCATCCTTTTTCTCTTTCCCTCCCTCTCTCTACCTCCCCCCTCCTCTTTCTATTCAACTCTCTCTCTCCCTCCCCACTTTCTACCTCCCCCTCCTTCCTTCCTTCCCACCCTCTCTTATTTCAGTAGATTACAGTTCTGGTCCTTGTCAACACCTGGACCCTGGGGGTTGAGAAAACCCCAATTACTGGGCAAGGACTGTGTGCCTGCAAGCTATCCCAGGGCATAAAGAGCCAGGAAGGTTGGTGTCCCAAGCAGTCAATTCTAAAGGCCTCAAATGGAGACAGAAGAAAGAACCAAAACTCAGGAAGGGGAGATTGCTCAATTTTCTGGCAGTCATATATGTATGATAATAGCTTCCACTGGCCTAGTGCTCCAAGGCTTGCAAGGCAATATCCTTATAACAACCTTGTGGAGTTGGTTACATAATTATTATTACTATTAGGATTATTTCAGAGAGTGAAGGTGGTCAGGACCTGTAATTTCACCAATTTAGGAAATTCTCAGTGTGTAAATTGCCTTTGTTCATGACGACTGGTACTTTATTTGTAACTTAATCATCCTAGAGTTTTGCCAGGGACACTGAGACATTGAATGAGTTTCCCATGGTCACAAAGTTAATGTCTATCTAAGGTGTAATTTCTGACCCCAAAGCCAGCCCTCTATCCAATAGGACATACTGATCTTCCTATGTATTATTATCATCTCAGTTTTCCAACTGACGAAACGGAGGCTCAGAGAAGAGTCCATTTTGCTGATCTACCTGCTCCGGCCCATTCCACCTAGCCTACATGATAGATAGATCTTATTTCTTTACCCTTTCAGAACTGCCCTTGATAGTTATTTGCAACTAATTCCACAAAAATAGACAATGGTATGGTCTAAGGGAAGGGGGCATATGGGGCATTATTTGGCCTGATCCTGAATCCCCTAGGGTGGGCTCAGGCCTGCCTAGCACTTTTGGAGTCCCTGACATAACTGTGTTTCACATGATAAAATCAGATGCACCAATATATCACAAATAGAAGAAAACTATTTTGCAATTTGCTGTGGCTGTCCCCCATCCCAAGGAAAAACTCCAAAGCAGACATTGCCTTCCTTCCAAGTAATTCTTTTAATCTTTTCTTTTAAGCTATTCTATTCTTGGCATCTGTGAGAAATTATACATTCTTTTGATCAAGACAGTCCCCATTTTAATAAACCTAGAGTTTATAGACAATAATATGTGATTTTAAACATTGTTTCTGATTGATCTCCCCCCAATAAATAAATCATCATTTTCTCTGAGTTCCTTCTTCAAGATCTCACAATACTATGGTTTGTCCAAAGCTTGCATTGTGTGCTGGTTTCTGGATGAATGGCAGGGAGCAAACAAATAAGAATTTATTATTTTCAACCTTTTGCCAGTGGTCTGCTGCAAGTATGGCCAGATTGCCAAAATGTGTTTCTTCCCTGGTAGGGACACATTTTTTTTTCCTCCCTTAGGGGCCTCTGTCACTATGGAAACCATCCACAAAGCAAGTACACAGGGAAATGCATCAAGACTGAGTTTTCTGTCTTCTGGACGTACATTTGAATAAATGCTTCAAAATAACAAGAGGACATTTCTTCTCCTGCTTGTCTTTTCTTCTCCTCCTTTGCTTCTTACTCTATCTCCTCCTCCTCTTCTTCCTTTTTCTCCTCTTTCTCTTCCTTCTTTTCCTCCTGGGAATGTTTAATCTAACCTAGGGAAGACTCCAATTGTTCTATGTTAGGGAATACAAAGTGTTACAAAGGGAAGAGGGCTGAATTTGGAGTCAAAGGATTTTCCAAATCCCAACTCTGCCACTTACTACTGGGTGACCTTGAGCAAGTCATTTAACTTTAGGGCATCAGTTTCCTTAACGTATAAAATTAAGGCATTAGGTTAGACAACTGTACCACCCCTTCCAGCTCTAAGTTGATGATCCTTACATAAGTTCTCCATAGATACTTCTTTATAGGATAACTATATTAGGATTTACCTCCTAAGGCTCCATTTTTTAGATATAGCTATAGTGAAGGGAAAAAAAGACATATCGTTTTAGAAATATAAAGTGACCAGAATAGCGACCTTTTCTACTCTGGGAAAGGCTTTCCAGTTGACTATCTGCAAAAACCACAAAGCTACAAGCCAAAAAGAGCACCTTAAGAGTCTAATTGAATGTGTAGGTGATAAAACAAATTGTTGACTCTCTGATTATGGGAACCTATTATGTCTAGTAAACTACTTTCCTTGTATGACAGAAAACACTCCAACAGTCCAGTTAAAGGACACAGAAAGTTATGTCTTGGATGTGTAATCAAACCCTGCGCTGTTATACAGCTACATAACAAAGTACCATTTTCTGAAAAGTTGAGGCTGCTACTTACATAAGAATAAAGTCCTTTTCCTTTTAGTTTGACCACTCTTTTCATTTGCCCTCTAGTCTTCCAACCTATTGGTGGTTGAGATTGAAGATTGAGATTGAGATGAAATCTCCCTGGATTTTACAGGAATCATGACTAAGAATGGATAGAGTGTTGAGCTTGGGGTCAGGGAGACCTGAGTTCAAATCCCACTTTCAACACTCAAATACTCTATTTGGAGTCAGATGACTTGTGCTCAATACCCATCTCTACCACTCCTAGCTGTGTGACCATGGGCAAATTACTTCAGCTCCCTAGGCCTCCATTTCCTCATCTGCAAGATGAAAAGGGTTAGGTGATTTGACTCCTAAGATCTCCTCCAATTCTAAATCTATGAACCTATGATCCTATCTAATAAGGTAATGGGTTATCTTGGTAATCAGCTGGAAATCAGGAAACCTCATTTCTGTTCCCCCCTTTGCCATCATTGACCCCCCTGAACAAGTCATTTCATTTCTTTGGACTTGCCTCAGTGTTCCCACTTGTAAAATGATGGAATTGCATTAGGTGCCTTCTAAAGACATTCCAAGATTTAACATCCTGTGAGCTAAATGTGCTTTACTGTTTGTTTATTTTGAAAACACAGAAAATCATTTAAACACCAACTGTAGATGTGCAATATTATCTCCACTGGTGAAATTTAAGCATTCTCATCTAAGGGACAGGAATTATCCATTTTACAGAGTAGCAAGTTCTACCCACCGACTTCATCAAACACCCAAATCTTTGCCTGGAAAGTTGATAAAGACATTTCAACATGTTTTTCAATTCCAGCATCAGCTTGGTTCTAAGCATGTTCAAGTACGTTCAAGTTTTTCTTCAAATACATATGATATTGCTTTTTCTTCCTTTGAGCTTGCTATCCACATTGAATAGATAGATGCAGAAAGTACAAAGAGGGTATAAACAGAAGACACTACATTGGCCAAATCCGATTAGTCATTATCATTTGGACTTTTAGAACGAGAAAAAGAGTATTCATTGTTAAGAATAATTTTCCCAAGTACCTCTTTGGGAAGGAATCATGGCTAGAATCTACGGATAGACATCAGGGGACTCTATGCACTTTACACAGATTGGGTTCTATATACAGTAAGTACTGTGGCTAGTTATCCCTTTGCCCTATTATGAATACAGAATACCTTCCCCTCATCAGAAATGGAGGCCTACTTGGATCTAGCCCTCACACATTAAACATTTCAACAGAAATATTGAAGTTCTATTTCAAATCATAAATATGTGGTGGAGTAAACATCTGTTTGTGTTTGCCACTCTGATTTAATCACGCTCTGTCCATAAATCACAGATAGATGAAGCAGAGAGAATGAGCCCAAAGATTCCATTGCAGTAAGGGGGGGGGGGGGGGGGTGGAAGGGGATGGGAAATGGAGCAAGAATTGTAATTCACATCTGAGCATTTGAAATGTTGCCTTGGTGATTCACAACAACAGCAGAGGCCCTGGGAATTAGCACCCCTATATTTCATCCTGAAGAACCCCACCCTTTCAGATTTACCTCCAGGAGACCCACTTCCTTAGTTGGCCCCTGATGTAGCCTTGGTAAACAATAAGTGATGGCTTATTCATCTCTATACTCTACACAATCCTTTGGCCCCCTTGCCAAGTTTTTTTTTTTTTTTTGAGGTCAAGCATCCCAGTCCAAGATGTTTTGAAGGAAAACACCCTCTTTTTGTCTCTTTTTTCCAGATGTCCCTAGGCCAACAGCAATCAGCCAGAGGTGTGCCTTGTTTGAGATGCAAGGGGACGTGTGCAGGCTTCGAGCCACATCCTTGGAGGTAATGGAGCAGCTGTAGGAAAGGCCCTTGCCTTCCCTGATTTCCTAACTGTCCTCTTTAATAATGTTGGTCATTCTTCTATGCCAAGCCTACTTAGCTTACATGCCACACTAAGTAGAAACAGTTCAAAATGGCCTGTACTGAGTCCAAAGTGAATACACTTCTTCCTTTTCTGAAATTTATCTTATTCACCATGAGGCCTTGTCAATTTGGAATAAAAAAAAAGGAAGAAAGAAATATTTGGCAAATGAGAGGAAGCATAAAGACTGAGATTAACTCTTTATAACCCTTTTAAAGGCTTCATATTGCCTAGCTATTGCCTAGTTCAATTCTATTCAATTCAGTTCAACAGATATTTCTTAATTGACTAATTATGTACCAAGCACTTCCGTTAGGTAAGAAAGAAAGAAAGGAAGGAAGGAAGGAAGGACGGAAGGAAGGAAGGAAGGAAGGAAGGAAGGAAGGAAGGAAGGAAGGAAGGAAGGAAGAAAGAAAGAAAGAAAGAAAGAAAGAAAGAAAGAAAGAAAGAAAGAAAGAAAGAAAGAAAGAAAGAAAGAAAGAAAGAAAGAAAGAAAGAAAGAAATCTCTTTAAGAAGCTTACATCCTAATAGAAGTGTAGGGAGAGGGTAGGGGAGGAGACAATATGTAGACTGATAACCATTTTCAAAATTTATACAGAGTAAATACAAAGGAATTTTAGTGGGGGTGGGGGAGCAATTACAACTAGGGGAATCACGAAAGACCTGCCCCTGTCTTCATTAAATGACTTCCTACCATGTCTAGCCCTACCCCTGGCTCTTCCTCTTCCCCTACTTTTACTTCCATCCATAATCATACATAACTAAGAGTTATGTTGTCTTGGTCAAGAGTAGGGCAGAGGAGCTCACCTGGAAAGAGCCAGCCAGGCAAAAGAAGCATGCCTTTGGAAACTGTGAAGTTTCTATGTTGCGGAAAAATTAGTCACTGCTGCAAGATGGGGGAGAGGGGAGAAGGAAGCAGGTTCCAGAGCTGGGCCCTATAAATGTCAGTGCTCTCGGATAAAGGCTCTACTGACCCATTTTAGCTATGGTTCTGCTTCAAGCATCTTTTGATGGGTAGTGATTCTTGGAGGCAGCCACTCGGCTAGTCAACAAGCAGTTATTAAGTGCTTATGGTATGCTAGTCACTGTGTGAGGTTGGGGATATATAGAAAGGCAAAAGCATGGGTCCCTGGCCTCAAAGAGTTCACCCATTTTGAATGAGGAGACAAAATGAAAATAGCTATAGACACATATGATATATGCAGTGTCGATGAGAGTTAATCTCAGGGGGAATGGCATGGAAAAGGAAAAGTGAATCTGTCAGATCATTTTAGATTCAATTTAATTCAACAAGACTTTATTGAGTTCCTCTTACTATTCTAGAAAACATGAAAACAAAACGGCCTATACTCTCTCAGATCTTGTGTTCCAGAAGAATCGAATTGTGTGTGTGTGTGTGTGTGTGTGTGTGTGTGTGTGTGTGTGTGTGT